AAAAAAATCCTGAGCTATGCTATTGGAGCAGATTGATTTCCCTGCCTAGGCTGGAAACTGGGGCACTGATCTCTAACATTTTATAAATGTCTAATTAAACTCAGCTTAAAACTAACCAGACCATTTATTCTTCCTCTTATTGCACAAAATACCAAAAACACAATCTTATTTTGAAATCTTAACACATGCAAAATAAACTTTGAGTGTTTTGTTCTTCAACACTTTGCACTGTCAGTTGAGTCTTTTTCAACTCAGAAAGCATATTAAAGGTTGATCCTTCTTTATTTTATGTTGAAATATTTCTTTGAGGTAGTGTTCATCTTGTATAGTTGACAGCCACTCATTCAAAGCAAGGCTTTGCATCATGTGGTGCTATGGCTACTGGTTTCCTTGATTGAGTATTTTCCTGTGATAATAATAAATTTATTTATAAAAGGGTATGTGTAAAACTTAATTAAAAAATAATCTATATATATTTGTTTGTGAATATATGAATCACAAGCCCTTACAGTAGCATCACATTAAAAGAGAATAACAAAAATAATGATAATAATTCATGCACATAAGGTGCATTTACAATTTACGTCATCCAAAAAACAAAACAGAAAGAGTTTAACACAAAGTAACATATTCTCCAAGTTACCAACTGGCAAAAGGAACACACAGAGACACATACCACATCCCTTTTCAAAGCCAAATCCTTGCTAACTAACAAAAAGTCTAGATCATAGGAATATAAACCCTAAGTGGACAATCCACAAATTGACAAATGTCCAACTATAAGTACTGGTAATCAGAAAGATTTGTCTCTTGAAAATTTTGCCTACACAGGTAAGGATTGCAACAGAGAAGCTAAAGAAAAGAGGCAGTGTTAGTCTCTGGTCATAACCTTACACCCCAGGGGCACAAGAGAGGATTGATGATAAGAATGATGTACACTTGAATTTTGAAAGAATAGAGGATTTATCACACACTTACTAACTGAGATTGTTCCACACAGTTGATGAAATCTCTAACTTTCTGTGAACACTTCAATGCCTGATTGGGATTCTGTTTGTAGCAATTAAGTACCTCATTCTTCAGGTGTTGGCAAGCTATGACCTTTGTTGGTACGCTGTGATTGAAAAAAAGAATCAAGTTGGATATAACTTGACTAAAACACGATTGACTCACCCAGCACAAATGGTAAGATCAACTTTAAAACTAAATAGCCAATCATGTGAGAGTTCATGTCAGTTTTAGTGGCATTTCTTGTGAAACATACTAATCACTTCACAAATACATACCTGAATTTTTGTTTTGCCTCTTCTACAGCTTGATTAAAGTTTTCTAATGTCACTTCTTCCTTTTCTGAAATCTAACATCAATAAGATAACTGCATGTTTTAATTTTTATGTCAAAGCCAGCAAAGAAAGTTATTTTTTGAAGTTATGTCTTAAAGGAGGGTTTTTTTCAAAGTTCCTTAAGTTTATAACATTACTGGTAGTTCACTTTTATACGACTTGGAAAGAGGACACTAGAGCTTGTAAAAATGAAATTTTTACCACCATTACCTGTTTCTCTAAAGTAGTAAGTTTTTCCAAAAGCCTGTGTTCTTTTGTTTTTGACTCAGCTTCTTTCTCTTCTAACAGTTTTCTCCAATGGTTGTCAATCTCTTGTACATCTTTGTCTCCTAATCTACCTCTGTTTTCTCTAACCCTTTTAGCTTCAACCTGTCTTCCCTGAAAACAAAACAAAAATATAAATAACTGTAATTACAATTTACATATTATTCAACACATAAAGATATGGGATAAATATCAGTATCTGGGCAACTGCCCACCTACCCCTCCCCTAACCCAACAACAGTCAATTGATGACAAGTTAGGGTTAATGTTGGGTTAGGGGAGGGGTAGGTGGGCAGTTGCCCAGATACTGATATTGATCCAAGATATGTACCTTTTGGTGAGCACAATCAACCTCTAGATCCTACACAACAGAGTCCCAGTGTGTAGAGTCCTGGATGTTATAATGTTCCCATAATGTTTAAGGTTGAAGTAATTTCCCAGTAATACAACTCACCTCATCAAAAGCATTCTGCAAAATCTCTTGTAAATGTTCTTCCTGATGTTTCATCCTGACTTTCTCATGCTGCAATTCCTTCCAAATCGTATTGATGTCATCTATTAAGTTCAACATTATACAGAATGATATAACACAGAGTATTTTAGAAGATTGACTTCACTTTAAACAGCTATCGCCAGCCATTGTCATCCTTAACAGACACCATAATGTACACAATGGGCATCTGTTATGAAAGAGAAGCTTGATCCTTGGAAAATCGAAGCTTTATTCAACAAAACCTCCTGCTTACATACTGTACAACATAAACGTGGTGGCCTAACAAAAATATTCAGCTAACATGTACAGATTAACAACTTTGCTGACATGTTTGCAGACACTAAACTACACAGGAAGCCCAGTAATTAAAGATTAAATCATCACACTGTCACTACAGCATCCATTCTCAATACTGAAATCTTCCTCCTTGGATGAGATGTGAAACAAAAATATCCTACCTTGGGTAACATCCTCATCACCTTTCAAGGGTAAGTCAATTTCTCCTCTGAGACGTCGTATGACCCGTTCAGAAATCTACATGTTTAGTGAACACAAAAGATGGATTTATTTCAATATGTCACAGAGCATGTCAAAACTTATCCAACTTTCAGTCTGGTTGTTTCTCAATCGCCAAAATCAGGTGATAGGTGAACTTCACTCAGGGGTAAAATTTGCTGCAATCAAAGCAATTGCAGAAAGTAAATCTTGAAAGCAGAATTGAAACTTTGACAAGGATTGTACCTGTGCCCACATACTATGTGAGCACAGTAACCCTTTCACTCCTGCAAGTGACCAACAAGGAATTTCTCCTTACATCATCTATACATTTTCTGTGATGCAGAGAGGTTATGAGAAGATTGAAAACATCAATAAGGCTTAGTTTAATACTAAATTCTCAGAAATATAATTATAAGAAATCTATCAGAGAAGGGTATAGAGTCTGGGGAGTGAAAGGGAATAAAACCGAGTGAAAGAGCCACATGTTGGGGATGTAGCTCATTACAAACTTGTTGAACAGATGCACTTTTATAGTGGGTGACAATATTGGAGGCACTAATTTAATTGAAAAGTTTTTTCAAGAGACATGTGCTACTTACATAGCAAGAAATCCGTGAAAGTAAATTAAATCTTGAACCATTTTAGAATATATTATAAGTTTTTAAAGTTCAAGAATATTGAAAGGCGCTGCAATATTGAAACGAGGCTGATGAAACCCAGTTCGCAATCACCTGTGTCACCTTTAAACTGTTTCTTACCTTAACAATTCCTGGGGTTCCTTCCTCTTCTGATCTCTCAACAGTCAATCTCTTTGTTGATTCACTGTTTCCCATGGCGTATTCTCATCCAAAGGTATTCAAGTATGTACTCAAGGTCTTCTGCCTATGAAGCAGCCATGTTGGATTACGGATGGTGCCCGAAATAATTTCTGGGCAGCGGACATATTGCCATAGAAACGGATTCCAGAGGCTCAGTGTGCTCGAATGTTTCTCTCTGTCTCCAAAAAGAGAGCTTGAAATTTTGTTATTCAATCTTCAATTTTTTATTTAAAGGGAAAGAGGAGGGTTTAGTACGATGAGTCGTTTAAATCCTCTTAAACCTGAAACATGTCGAAGAACAGTGAGCCTTGAAACAGTTCAACCGCACCATGTTAATCATGAACACAAACTTCGCGGAAAAAGGGAGATTTACAAACTGCGCAACGATGCATACGCGAAGCCGATGTACGGAAATTCGATGGAGAAAGAAAGAGTCAAGTAAGTCGTTATTAAAATCAAGTTAACTTTTTAAAGGTTGTAAACATGTTGTTAACCACTCCAGTTGAAGTGGCAGCGAATCAAACAGTAAATTTTAATGAACCTCCGTCACCTGTAAAGAACAGTTGTCTGGTTTAATGTTGGTAACAACTTCCTGTGTTAAGATCCTGATGTTGGGGGTTCTCCCTATTATCTAATGCTACTGTTATACATAGATTTTAATAAAATAACAGCAGAGCGGAAATTTTTGAGGATTTCTTTTAGTTTTACTGCGCTGATCGTGTCTGTTGCATTTCAAGGGGGTTGGAACAATCTATTGCGCAGATCAAAACCCTTCAATGATCGACAATTCTAAAAGGAACAACAAATGGACTGTTCCACGGTCGTAGTGAAAAGAGTATGATTATACCTCAATATTGCGCTCCCGATTAGTTACAAGTCCAACAATTTTGAACGTGAGTGAGCCTGACAACGCCTGCGAGTATATCACCGCGGTGGCTTTTGAACCTCAATCATGCCTTTCTTTATCGCGAGTTATTAAAATTTAACGACTTATTCTTCATTCATTCATTCATTCATTCATAACTTCTTCTAAAAATAATATTTCTAGGCAAGAGAGTCGTAGAGCACTGTTGCAACAAATGAAAGAAAAAGATGAGGCCCACCAAACACACCTAACTGAAAGGATAAAGGAAAGTGACTTTGCTATAAACTATGACAGGATCTGCTTACAGCAGGACAAGGAAGAACGAATCAGTAAAGAGAAATATCTGCAACAGTTTCGGAATGAAAACAAGCGGGTAAGCATATTTAATTTTCCCCTTGATAGTTTTTTTGTAGTTGGCCAACCTGCGTAACTGCCTCAACTTCATTCCCAGATCAGAGCAAAGGCCTGGAGTCTAGCGCAACAATCTTTAGGTGCCTGTGTCTCCCTTAATGAGCAAAGTGATTACATTTTAACCCTTTACACCCTAACATCAGTATGCATATTCTTCATACTTCATATTCTTCATACTGTTCTTTATACATTTCCTAAGGTGCTGACAGGGAGAATTTGTTTAACAATCAATCACTTCTTTTAGTTGGTGATGATTTTCTTGATTCTCTTGACCTTACTGTGTGATTTAGGGGTGATATTGAAAGGAGAAATAAGATGCTAATTGCCCTTAGGGGTCAAAGTGTTACCAGGGTAATTTAGTATTATCAACTGCATTCATAACATAAATTGGCCATCATAAAGAGTTTCAAAGCTGATGTTTCAAGTGTTAGCCCTTCACTATTTACTCTGACAAATGGCTAACGCTTGAAACCTTATTCTGTCCCACCGAAGCAGCACCAAAATTTCTTTAGAAACTTAATTATGTTTTAATCCCTTTAAAAGTTATGTTGTTCTTTTTGCTTCAGTTGATGGAACTGCGTGCAGAACAACAAAAGAGAAACACAGAGAAAAGACATTTGGAGGAAAGGGACCTTCTACAACAGAGCCCAATCAACTGGAGTCACACTCTACACTAAAAGACATTAATAATTAATATAAATGGCACCAATTCGAACAAGGAAAATTTGCTTTTTATAGTTTATTGATTTTATTTGTGGTGTGTTCATAGCCAAAATGACAGCTTGTTAAATGGAAATCACAGGACTGGTGTACTTCAAATAAAGCTACATCTGTCCACAACAAAAGAGAATTCAACCAAGACTAAGCTTTTCAAATGGAGGTTTCTTAGAGTGTTTCTTAACACACATATGTTAAGAATATTAATGTATGACGAATTTAAATGTAATAACTTAATTTTTGAGTTCCAATAATAACTAAATTTATTTTTTGAGGCACCATATATAAATGTTAAAATTCAACTTTCAAATAATTTCAAGTGCTTTGAGGCATTCTAACATGAAAAGTTTTGGAAAATAATTTCTTTGAGTATGAGAGCCTATGTCAAATACATTTAATTTGTAATCTCCCTTTTGGGACACTTATTCAAGGGACACAAATTGTGGCCCAGTCTGGAAATAATGCTTCTACAACTATCCTCAAGACTTCTGTATTTAGGAGATATCTCTCCTTCAACAAGATATCTCTGTAGAAGAGAGACTTTACCGAGCTGTAAGCATGTCTGTGGGATGTAGGTTCTGTTGTAAGATTGTTGTAGCACATGTAGAATAAGTCTCAGTGATAGCAATAAAAGATGTATGCACATCTTGCTCCATTGATCACTGATTTCCAACCAATCATGTGCCGATGTCTACTTCTCTATCAGGTCAAAGTTGAGCAGTGACAACCTTAACTTGAGTCACAGCATGGTCAATTATTTCTCTTCACCTAATTTATTCCTCGATATGTTCTTGCTCTTGGTGCTCCTGTGCATCACTTGAAGGACCAGGAGTCTACAAATTTAACAGCCATGTTTACAATTACGCATTACAAAAAAATTATCATCCTTAATATTTTAACAATAATTACATCTCAAAGGCATATACAGGCTTATATTCTATTGTCAAACAAGCTGTTATTACCTGTTCGTTTTTCTTCTCTTTTTCCTCTCCTTTTTCAACCAAAAATGCCCGCGTCATTTCTAATGTTTTTGTAGTCTTGTACCTGTACTTTAACTGTTTTGATTCACTGCTATCATTTGATTCTAGGAAGTGAAAAGATGGGAAACAGTTATTTAAATAGTCACCTCTTTAGGTAGACTCAAAGTTACAAACAAAAGGAAACAAAGAAGACAGAAAAATATATTCATTGTTAGCCTTAGGCTACCTACATCTGATTGGTAAATACACCCTTCTGGCTGACATACATTTCCTTGTAAATAGGTTGAGAGAATTTGGTATTTTAATCAAAACAAAATTTTAGTCTTGCTTGCTGATAATATGTTGACTTTGTATCTTGCTAACAATATGTTGACCTTGCATGTAAGGATCAGCTACATGCTAACCACTTAGGAGTTAGAGCCAAATTTTCTGATGCTAAAACAATGAACAAGGTTGTTGGTCCTGCTCTAACTCCAAGTACTGAAAGTTTATGGTTTATTTTTCATTAGTTTAGGGTCTTGACTCATAGCTAGGATCAAGTTATGGGCATGTAAATACAGTGGTTATTTAATTATAAAAATAACTCTAAAAAGGACCATGTAACATTACCAAGCTCCTCAAACAGTACATGTGTTCCAAGGGATTCTGCAAAAAGATGCCAATAGTGAGAATTGTATGAAGATTAATATAAAAGCAATCCTCACAGTAATGAACACTACTTAAATAGTAGTGAAAATAATGCCTGAAAAAGATTCAGACCCTTATGGGATTTTAACCCATGACCTCTGTGATACTGGTGCAGTGCTCTACCAACTGAGCTAACAAGCCAACTGGGAGCTGGTCATTATGTTGGTTCCAAATACAGCCTTGAAGTGATGAATAAATGACTGTAAATATATGAAAATCATACACTGATGTATATTGTAGTTGACAGTTCAGTTTCTGTTTTGCTCAAACCTCGGAGCAATTTGAAGGATTAAGCTAAATAAACACTAAGATTGTCCTACCTTTAAACTCTCCAAGAAAAGTGTAATTCCCAATTTGTAACACAGGTTCATCTGTATCAATGCCCTAGGAATCAGATTTTAGTGTCATGATCACACATTGCATTTGAACAATTGCCACTCAGAATAAAAAATCGCAGATCTTGATGAGGTCTTGGACATTTAATTAATAACCTTTTGACCCTTATGAATGAATAGTATCTGAATTCTCCCTACCATATCACTGCTGAATCACACATTATGGTCATAAGAGTAAAGGAAATGATCAACAACTAAGGAAGCTCTTCATACAAATTCTCCTTGTCAGCACCTTAGGAAATACATAGATGACAGCAAGGAGAATATGCATACTGATGTTAGGTTGTAAAGAGTTAAACCCCAAGTACCATGAGCTACCCATAAAAAACGAATTACGAGTTGCCATCAGAACTGTGCGCCAAGCATTAACCGTTAGCAGGGATTTACACAGGACTTCCAAGTAATGTTGGGAAAAATTTCCACACAGCCCCATCCTACATTATGCATTCAGTTCTTGGATAGAGAAAACAATGACAAAACAATACATTGCCATTGGGAACACAGATCTGTTTTACAGTAGTATGGGGCTGTGCGAAAATTTTACCTAATGTTGTCCTATGTTGAGTTCTAACAGTGCATTGGCCACAGTGGGATATCGTTAAGTTCAGTCAACACTCACCAGGAGTCGGCAGTTTGAAGACTCGCACCTGTACAAGAACTCATTATCTATCACTCCTTGAAGCTTGACTACAACAAGATGTTCCTATAGTTAAAACACACAAGATTCAGGTATTCAAGACATAACCTTATTTCTATACCTGAGCTTTAAAGATTGTTAAAAAGAACTTAAGGTACCTCTTCCTCCCATTCTTCTTCATTCATTACTAGAATAGCTCTATACAACAAGATAATAAACCTTGGAACGACAATGTGCAGACTGTCATGCAGATTTAAGAAGGTAAAGTGTTGAATCTCAACTTGTCCGTGGGAAACTGGGTGTTAGTATACCGCTGACCACTTGTAGGCACAGCAGTGTGTTGTTATAGATACAACTGGTGCTCGCAAGTCCAATTAAGTAACATGGTGTCAAAATAGTGGGATTTCGAGCGCCACCGAAGGAAACTTAGCTCAAAGATATGGCAGAAGGATACGCTAACTTGTCGTATAACTGGCCAAAGATGAACTGGGCTGCTTCGGACCTGAGTAAAGAGTGGGAAAGATTTTATCGACACTGCGAATTTGCTTTCGGAGGACCGCTCAGCAAGTGCACAGAAAAAGAGAAAATATGCAACCTGATGAGCTTTGTCGGTGACAAGGGCCGAAAAATTTACCTCACTTTTGATTGGTAACTTGCTCTTTTCTGGAAATGCATTGAGGGGCAGCTAATCAGGGGGTGTTTTGCTTTTCATCAGCCTCTTTGGGCAGGCATCTTCTCACCCTTGCCCACTCCCTGCCCCCTTCAGTCAGATAAATGCTCAATAGATTATAACATTAGCTCTCCCTAATCCTACACTGCAGGCTAGTGTTCAACTAGACATCTCACTTGTTCACTGCGCTCACTCATGAGCTATCAGGTTGAACACCCAAAGGGAAATTCCATATCTATGTGTGCCCATGTATTATTTTGTATATCTTACAGGTGCTCCTATTTATCTATGGAAATCATCACGCCCTTTGAATAACTTATTATCAAGAGTGTGTGATATAAATATTTGACCCCTAGAGTGACTAGCAAATAATTTTCTCTATAGTACCACCCCTGAATCAAACATTAAGGTCACAAGAATTAAAGAAATGATCACTTACTAAAGAAGCTCTTAATTTGTAAACAAATTCTCTTATCAGCACCTTAGGAAATGTATAGATCTAACAATATAGAGAATATATTACAGGGTCTAAGTATTGGACGTAGATTTATGTTACTTCTTTACTTGACTATTTTGCATAACATGTTGATAATGTTCAATGTAAATTGGCCACCTCAAAGAGCTTCTAAACTGATGTTTTGAGTGTTAGCCTGTCATCAGAGCAAAAGTTGATGGGCGTACACTCAAAACATCACTTGGAAACTCTTTAACAGTGGCCAATTTACATCATTTACAGTCAGTTGATAATACTAAATTATCTTGTTATACTTTCCACCTAAGCAGTACCACAGTTTCTATAGAAACTGACCCTCTTTTTTGTGTGGGATTTCCCACACTTTGTCAAGGCCCGCGAAATTTATTTCTTTATTTCTTTATTTATTTGTCCACAAGAGAGAAGTGTTTGTCACGTGGTTTCTATTTGCGTTCAGTGAGCCGTGAAGACTGGATTCCAGTC